GCCTGGAGAATCCCCATCGACAGAGGAGCCTGGCAGGCTCCAGTCCATGGGGCTGCAAGTCAGACATGACTGAGCACATACACATTGTGTCTCTACTGCGTAGGTCTTTTGTCAATCTTTTTAATTCAATATCTCATGAAAGCCAGTATTGCTTTTAAGCATCACACTGATATTTGATAGTTAAACAAAATTAAGTTAAATTAATATTTACCTAACACAATACTACAAACTACTTTTCTCTTTATGTAAATAATTCATATTATCTAGACTTTATTTTTACTTTTTTCTTGAGTAAAATGCATTTGTCCTTCATGATTTGTACAAGCTCCTGTTTCTGGTAATGTTTCCTTTCTTCTTCTACATACTCATACACAGACATGTTTGTGCATTTTAGATTTGACTCTATTTTTTATCTTCTAGTCAATCTTAAAAATTATTATATTGGTAATTTAAAAATTATATAGTTTATCCTTTTTAGAAACTCATTATTTTCAGTGTTGATAATTACTAATTTCTCTTCCTACTTTGGTTTAACTTCTTTTTTATTTATCATAAAGTATTGTCTCAGGACTTTTAGCCATTAAGTTCATGTTCTAGGCATCAGCGAAGAGGAAAAGAGAAGGCAGAATGGGTATATCTCCCTGTCCATCTGCAACATTTAATAGCTTTCCAACCAATACACCAAAACCTCCACATATATCTATCACATAGCACTTGGTCACATGGCTCTTCCATCTGCAAGGCATGGCAGAAAATGTCATGTTTTACTTGGATACATTGTTGATATAAATAAAATTGAATTTCTATTAATAAGGGAGAGAAATAAAATGGGCATTGGATAGTTACTAACAGTTTTTGCTGCATATCATTCTTTTGGGTGCAGGCGTGATAGTTCAAATGTTTTTATTGTTTTTCCATTCCTGTAACTTCAAGGTCCTGGATATTGTTGAAATCTAGTTTTAGGGTTTCCCTCACAATTTGTCTCATTTCCTTTAAGAAACCTTATTTTATAGCATACTATAATTTCCCAATCATAATAACATTTAGGGTTGAATAAAAATCCATTTAGACTCAATTTTGTAAATCTACTAATTACCACTCTGTCCAACATCCTTATCTTTTACAGTATGTTAGTTCTGATTTAATAGTCATTTGGTTGGTCATTATATTTTTTCTCAGAAACACACAGGTGATATGAATTCTGAATCTACTTATATCTGAAAATGTCATTCGTTTTCTCTGATAGGTGAATTGTAATTTGTATCTAACTCCTTTGGTCTCAGTAGATTATATTTCATTGACTGCTCAGTTTTAATATTATAAATAACTCAGGTATTAGTCAGATTCTCTTTCCTCTAAAAGTTACTTGCTCATCTAGAAGCTTATAAGATTTCATATTACTTTTGGAATTAAAAATTTTCACTGGGATATAACTAAGTAAATGACCTTTCTTATTAATCCTCATTGAGGCCCAGGGAATCCTGTCAATCTTCGTGTGAAATCTTTCTTCAAATAAAGGAAAATTTCTCAGTTTGTTTAAATATTATCTCTCTTCTATAACTGCCTTTTAAAAAACATTTCTAGACCCTTTTAGTCTGCATGAAAATTCTCTTGTTAGCGTCCTAAATAACTCATGTTTTCATTGATTGCCATCATTTATGCTATTTCAACATATTTTGTATTTATTTTAATAGATCTTTCAGGACAGCTTAACTTTAAACCATAGCTATTTTTTAATCATAACAATTGAAAAATCTAAATTGGAAAATATATCTTTTGTTGTTGTTTTTCCACAAGTTATTTTATATCTTATGCCCTTGACAGATCTTATTACTTTATTTATCTCATCTGACATATCAATTGGTTTCACTTCTTGTGAGATGGTTCTTTGTTTCTTTCTCTGTTTTTTTTTTTTTTCAATTTTCTTGCTGGTCTTATTTATTTATTTATTTTGCTTGCTCATGCTTTAAAACACAGTGATATCACAGGCAATAATCATCGCTGCTAGCATACATCAGCCACCATAGCATTTGAGAACAGCACAGTCTACCAGCATAGCTATATTCACGGTCCTATAGTTCTTGAAGCATCTCACTCAAGATAGCAGGGCAGATGCAAATTTTCCTTTAGAAAACTCATAATAATGATGTTTGATCTAGCTGTAAGTGAGAAGTGAAAGTTACTTAGTCATTTCAGACTCTTTGCGACTCCATGGACTATATATGAACTCCTGGAATTCTACCTGTCAAAGAGAACCTGCTTTATATTGTCTGAGAGTTATTTCGACCTCTGATGCATAGCACCCATTCACTATTTCTAGTAAGAAACCCTGTTTATTTTTGTTTATTTTTCTAAGTAGAAAAACGTTTTTCCCGTTTTCAGTCCAAACAGCTTGGAAGAAATTGACCCTACAATAGAATTCATGGGAGCATGTTTGAAACCAGCCATCAGCACATTCTATTCTGGGTCAAAAAAATGATCATGGAGATGAGAACAGTCCGTTGATGCACAAGGCATTCATAGAATGAAAAATTCATTTATCCACTGTGTTCATATTTGAAAGGAAAAATCTAAAATGACTGAAAGTCTTTTTCACACCATGCATAGTCTTGTAAGTCAACACAGATGAGAAAACAACTGAGGGATGGGTAAACTTTGTCTTCCTAAGAAACAGGCTGTCTGAAGCCTGGGTCGCCTGGGTTTTAAACTGTGTTAAAAAAATAAATACATATTTTGCTAAGGGATTTTAGAAAGTTTTGGAATATCATAATGCATTTTCACAATCTAAATAAGCTTGTGTACTTCAAACCTATATCAAGAAACAGAACATTACCATTACCCCAGAAACTCCTATTATCCTTTCTTCTAATCAATAACATCCAATGATAATCACTGTCCTGTAGCCAAGCAGTATATTAATAGATTAGTTTTGTTACTTTTTACTTTAATATGAATAGTATGTATATGATTTTTGTTTTGGATCCTTTGGCTTGATATTTTGTTTATGAGATGCATTGCTATTGTCGTGATGTTGAAGCTGAAACTCCAGTACTTTGGCCACCTGATACGAAGAGCTGACTCATTGGAAAAGACCCTGGTGTTAAGAAAGATTGAGGGCAGGAGGAGAAGGGAATGACAGAGGATGAGATGGTTGGATGGTATCACCAACTTGATGGACATGAGTTTGGGTAAACTCCGGGAGTTGGTGATGGACAGGGAGGCCTGGCGTGCTGTGGTCCATGGGGTCACAGAGTTGGATATGACTGAGTGACTGAACTGAACTGAATTCCAGTTTGTTTACTCCTTTTGGTATTCTCGATATCATTCTGTAAACATACCACAATTTACTTATCCATTTTTCTGCTCATAAGCATTTGGGTAGTTTCCATTGGAGGCTATTCTTTATGTAATGCTCTGAACATACTGGAACTTGTTTTTCAGTGAACGTTTCTAATGCATTTCTGTTGGGTGTGCACCTAGGCATGTAATTACCAGGCCAAAGGATAGGCATATATTCGTCTTCAATAAATCCTGACAACTTTTCATAATGGTTATAAAATTCATATTCCTACTAGCAATACGTGAGAGTTCTATTTCTTTACAGTTTTGCTAATGCTGATATTTTCTTTAAAGGCTTAAAATGCTGAATTCTCTGTCACTTGAAATAATGTATTATTATTAAAAGACTTCCTGTTTTATTGGTTATGCTGTTCTGGCTGTTGCTTTATGGAGGAAATTGAGAAGGAAGATTGCTTATTCATGTAAAATTCAAGTCTCAATCTTTCTGGAAAATTTCAAGTACTCTATTCCTTTCAGTATAAGCATATATATCCTGTCATACAGCCTCTTGTCATTTCCATTTAACAATAACTTTATAGGGCCAATGTTTCTATTTTTGTTTTATTTCCTTCTTAAATCAAAGAAATTAATCTTCTTGTGGATTTATGTGGCCAGTTGATGAGGAGATGCTGTTTCATTAGTCAGATATTGACCCTATTCTATTTTTGACTAGAGATAAATTTAGGCCATGTATTAATTCCATTTAATAAACAAATAAATTTCAAAGGAAAGTAATTGTCATAATTGCCTCTTCCAGAAAATTATGATTGATAGTAAAAACATATTTGCTTTGTGTGTGGTTGTTGAAAAGATAATTTAAAAATATTCAAATGATAAATGCAGGAGAGGATGTAGAAAAAAATGAACCCTCCTACACCAGTGGTGGGAATGTAAATTGATATTATGGAGAACCATATGGAGAATAGTATAGTGGTTTCTTATGTGACTAAACATAGAAATACCATATGATTCAGCAATCCTTCTCCTGGACATAGAGCTGGAGAAAACCATAATTTGAAAAGATTCATGCACCCCAATATTCATTGCAACACTATTTAAAATAGCCAAGATATGGAAGCAACCCAAATTATTAATAATATCCTAACATTAATTTTGGGCTTCCTAGGTGATGCTAGTGGTAAAGAACCCACCCATCAATGTAGAAGAGATAAAAGACATGAGTCCAATCCCTGGTCAGGAAAACCCCCCCGGAGGAGAGCCTGACAACCCACTCCAGTATTCTTGCCTGGAGAATCCCACGGACAGAGGAGCCTGGAAGGCTCCAGTCCATAGGGTCGCACAGAGTCGGACACGACTGAAGCGACACAGCAGGAGCACGCAAGCACTGGGGATAAGAAAGGGGATTTCCCGGTGGCTCAGATGATGAAGAATCTGCCTGCCCATGCAGGAGATGCAGGTTTGATCCCTAAGTTGGGAAGGTTCCCTGGAGAAGGAAATGGCAATCCTCTCCAGTAGTCTTGCCTGGAAAATTCCATGGACAGAGGAGCCTGGCCAGCTATAGCCCGTATTGTCGCACAGAGTCGGACATGACTGAGGCGACTTAGCATGTATAACGTTAAGTTATGATATTAATGAGCCCAGGGTTCACCGGAAGCTACATTAACACGTAGTGTTAGTGACCCTCCTGAGTCAGTCCTCACCAAGTGGCCTCCGGCCCAGGGTTATCTGAACCAAAAGGAGGAGACTGGGTTTAAGTCTGGTTCTCAGCAGCGGGAGGGGGCTGAGTTCTAGCAGAGCTGGCGCACCTGTGCCACTCAGGAGGGAGGCAGCGTCCCTCACACGGCGCGCCGCCGCCATCTTGACTTGAGGTGCCGGGCTCCGGCGTCTCCTCACAGTGTGAGGTGTTGGCACCAGCAGTTTCACTGAACTCTGGCCTGAAGGACGGGGTGAAAGACCTTTGAATGCAGCACCCTATAAGCAAGTAAAACTAGACTAAGCACAAAGGAAAAAAGGCTAGACTTTATCTTCTTACTCCTATTTTATTTTTAGTACTTGTTAACCGGCTTTGCGGGTGATAAATCACTTTTTCTTTCGTTCTGCTCCTCATGCTTGAAGTGGGCCTTGAAGGGTGAATGGATGTCTGCTGTAACTGCTTCCTATTGAGTTTGGATGTCGTCATAACCCAGGGTAGAGGAGCAGAACTTCTCCCGCGCGCCAGTGATGTTTGTCACCAGGTCCTCACTGTCTGTATCCGTTTGTCTAAACTTTTTGAGACAAAGAACACCAAATAATTTAAGATACATGCCCCCAATATTAGCAAGAGAATAATGGCCACATGTCGAATTTTTCCTGAAAATGAAGGTATGGCGGTCTCTTGCCTGTAGGGTGTTTCCCTGATGTTGAGACTCACTGCTGTGGCCTGGTTACCCCTGGTCACACTTCAGGTCAGAGAGAGGTTCACACATGTAGTCGAGGGGGTCCGCTTCCCCAGGTTTTTCTTTTTGGAGGTTGCAGCTCAGGAGTCCTCTTCACTTGAGTGTGATGTGCCCACAGAGAGATCTCCTATAAATTCAGGGCAGAAGGCGTGGTTAGGATCACCAAATGGGATCTGTTCCTTTTGGGCGTGAGTGATCTTGCATGCTTGTGTTCTTCCATGCTTGTGTTGTTAGGGTCATCCTGTCTCATGGCTGGAAGTAGTGGAGGGTCTCAGGTCAGTGAGTACCGCCTGCACCTGGTTGCCATAATCTGTGAGAGGTTCCTCCTACCTGGAGAGAATATTTGAGTTGTTTCATTTGAAGGGGGCTAAGGTATCCCATCTCTTGGGCTTGGGGAATGGGTTTACCATAATGAATTCAAATGCACTTAATTTTAATTTATCTTTTGCGGTTGACTGTATTTGGAGCACACAAATACTGGACTATTATCACTTTGTAGGGATCATAGGAGCTGAAACCTGGGAATTATTTGTTTTAGTAATGGCTTAGTGAGTTCAGTTACCCTTTCACTTCTAGTGGGGAATGCTTTATCCACCCAAAAAAGATGTCTTCTAGCATCCAGAGATACTTGAAATTGCCTAGTACTCTTGGCGTGATAGTGAAATCAGCCTTCCAGTTTTCTTCAGGGTCTTATGCACCCTCTGGTCTTATGGGCCTTGTCTGGTGGATCTGGTGTTCGGGTAGGTTATTGTGCAGATAGGGCATGTCTCAACTATTTGACTGATTATACTTTTCATGCCAGAAGTTACCATGACCCCAACTATTATATACGCCTCCTTCTCAGAGTAAGTTCCTTGATCAAGAAGCCTCCTTGATGGCTTGACAAAGCTGCATTTGAAGAGAGAAATATTGACCATGTTCATTAACTAGCCATCCATGGCCTCCTAGATTTCTGTTGAAGCCCTATTTTTTGACTTTGTCTAATTTTTCCTTTGTATAGCTTGTGGAATAATTGGATGGATATGGCTTTTTAGGTTTGAGGGCTAGTTGATAAATTACTGGTTCTAAGGCCACCCTTTTGACGGTTGCATCTGCCTTGTTGTTTCTCTTTATTACCTCTGCATCCCCCTTTGGTGAGTCCTGCAATAACTCGCTGCTACTTTTATTTTAAAAGCTGTACCAATTCTAAGAGCTTCAGTATGTTTAAATCATGTTTTACCTGCTTGTTCTCCATAATACACATGCCGCCTTCCTTCCAAATAGCCCCACGTACATGTAGCTTGGCATACACATACCACAAATCTGTGTAAACCTTTAAGATCTTCTGTGTCCAATTTCTAAGGCTCTGGTGAAGGTTATCAGCTTGGCATTTTGGGCCGAAGTCCCTGAGGGTAGGCTTGTGGCTTCTAAGATTTGGGTCTGGAAGGTTACTGGGTATCCCATCAGCCTTTTTCCTGTCAGAAAACTGCTTCCATCTGTAAACCATTCCTCTTCAGCATTTGAGAGAGGTTCAATTACCAGCCTGAGACAACTGAAATAAATTGTGTCTGCAGTTTCTATACAGTGCTTGGGATCTTTAGTTGTTATCTGCAAACTCTTAGTTGCAGCATGTGGGATCTAGCTCCCTGATGCTCCCTCACCAGTGATTGTACCTGGGCCCCAAGGGAGTGTGGAGTCCTAGCCAGGATAAGTTTTCACATAGCTACTGGTTTGTCTACAAGCATAGCCTGAACTTGACTCAACCTTCTAGGGGATAGCCATTCTGTTCCCTTAGAATTGACTAAAGCCTTGACCTGATGTGGAGCCCATACAGTGATTGGCTGATCGAATGTAACTTTTCAGCCTCCTTTAGCAGTTGTTGCTACCGCCTGCAGGCAAGGAGGCCATCCCTTAGTGGTTTCATCTGTTTCCCGTTGGGTTCCCCACAGGGTCTCTTTATGTGGAGAATGGGGTATTACAGGTTACTGGCATAGTCTCATAAGGCCCTAGTCAGTTAAGCCCTGTGTAATAGGGGCAACATCCAACAAGACCTCCTGATGGAGAAGGTTCTGTTTTCTCTTGGGCCATGTATGTCTGGGTTTTGATGGAGTACTTACCTGTCTTCTATAGCTCATCCACCCATCCCTGGGCCCAGACCTTGGGATTTACTCTTGGGAGGTTAACTTGCTCTGTCTCACGCATTAACATTATCATCTTATGCCCTCTGTCTAAGGAGATGCCAATCTCCAATTTGCACATATAGGAAGGAATGGCCTCCTAATGGCTCTATGAATGCCTGTTCTTGATCCTTTCTGATACCTCCTTAATTATACAACTCTCATGATTGAGTTTGCCTGATCTGGCTTCATAACTGAGTAAGTGGCCTGGGTCATGACTAAGAATTTGACAGGCTTTTCCCATGTCCAGTGTCAGCTGAGGCTGCTAAGGAGTCAGCTTAGGAGCCCTTTGGCCCTGTCATTCGTCATCTATTTGGACTGTCTACATTCAAGTGTAGTTGCTTGGATCTGCCATTTCCAACCCCCCTTCAGGGCAGCAAATACAATTCCCTTCCAGTGTCCCTCTTGTTTATATATGGTGCACAGACTGGGTTCTAATTTCATTGGCTGCTGTCCCTCAATGGGGGCTGTGGGTCACTCACAGGAGGAGTTGAATCTCAGTGGGCAGTTAGTACAGATTCCTATGCTGACCCGTTGACACTGCAGGGCAGTAGCCAGTAGGTGAGTTTGCCTCTAGGCTATTTTATCCTTGTGACTTTTCTTCTATTATCTCAGTTATTAAGCACATTAAACACCTTCACCACATGAGTGGTAGGTGTATATGGTTCTTTTCCTAACTTCTGAAGTTTATACCTAGTGTTGGGGACACTTTGGGAAATGAAATACAACTTCAATATTATGTTCCCTTCTAATGGCTCAGGGGCTAGTGCTCATATAGATTCAGAGTCATTCCCTGAGGCCTCCAGGCATGCAGAATGGTCTTCTGTTAGCTCCTGGTTGACTTTCTTTATCTTATTTCAATAGACAGATTTTGATAAGAGATAATCCAAGGTTTGCCTTGTAAGCAGAGGATGGAGAAGGGGTCCAGTGGGGTAGGTGTTTTCTGTTCTTGCAAGCAGCTCACAGAATTTCCTGATAATAGGGTTCCTGGGTCTTGAAAGTGGTTCACAGGACTCCCCAGCTCACTTCAGAGAAACTAGTGCCAACTAAAAGAGGTCAAATCATTTGTCCAGTACCTACCTTGGGAATGTTTTTGCACTCCAGAGTCTCTGGTCTCTTCCCCCTGAGCTCAGATATAGCATCCTTGTCCTCTTCATTTTCTGAGCTATTCCTTATCACCTGTGCATTTTCCAGGTCTTGCGTCTTGGCTCACAGGAGTGGTAGCCACCTTTCTTTACCAGAAAGTGATTATGGAGAATGCCACTGTTGACCCCTGGAGGTCAGCAAGGAGGAAAAAAAACTCCCTGGTGTGGCCACTACTGCCTTGTATATAAGTCAGGAGGACAGCACTACTGACAAGACAGTGGGTGAGACTGCTGTGGCTCCCTCTCATCCACGGCTCCCGGAGTGTTTGATACTGCAGAAAGGCCAGTCAATGAGGCCGCAGTATCATTTCCTCAAGGGGACTCACTCCGGGTTACTCTGGGGCTTGTTATGTGCACATCACACCTGGGCATCTGCTTGCTGGGTAGAGTTGCTGAATTTGGCCAAAGGCTGTTGCCATTCTACCCTGTCAGAGTTACTAAAAAAATTAGAGTCAAGAATCCTCACATAAACCTCCCAAGGCCTCTGTTGCCCTCCCGCTGGAGCCCGAGCAAGCTGGAGCCTAATGGATAGGTTCAGGCAGAAAGAGCACAGTCCGCCACTTCTTGGTTGCCAAATTTTGTAACAGACCCTCTTCAGTTGGTCCTGAACATGAGCTCTCCGGCCCACTGTCCTTTGAGCCAATGGAGCAAGGCTGAGTTTGGTTCAGAAGCAAAGGAAAATTTTAATCTTTGATCAAAGAATAGAGTTGCAAGCTTGCTCTCTAGAGTACACTCTCTCCTCAGTAGGCCTTCAGTAGGGCTGCTTTAGAGGGTTCTTGTGGACCAGGAGAGGGATGGAGTTCATGCTCGTCAGGAGCAACTGTGCTGCTGACAGTACTCTAGATCAAAGTGGCAAATGCAGCATTTCGGCACGCAGTACTCTGTTGCCATCTTGAACTGAAGTGTTGTGTTCAGTGCTTCTGCACATGGTCCTCCAAGCTGAAGTTTGGGGCACAGTCATTTCACAATAGGACCTCCGGTCTGAAAGGCTGGGTGTGAGCCTTTGGATGCACTGCTCTATGAGCAAGTGAAGCTAGGCTAAGTACAAAGAGGAAAAGTAAAGATCAGCTTTATTTTATTACTCAGATTCTGCTTTTATTTCTTGGGGATTATTAATGGAT